TGATCAGCCTCGAGTACTGCAAGATCACCGATGATAGCATTCAAGCCATGCTGCAGTCACCAGGCATCATGAGGATGGAGGGTGTACACTTGTACGGGAACCCATGCTCTATGGACAAGCTTCGACCTCCATTGTACAAGTCCGTGCTACGTTATAGCAACTCTACTGTCCTGGAGTTCATCTCGGATTGATTGCAGGAAGACGTTGCACAACATCAGCATATTCCCAGGTATGTGTTGTACAGTAGTAGATGTACAGTGTTGATCAGTGTATGAAATACGGGTACACCTGTTTGTTGATGAATAATGATGATCAGACAGACACTACACCCTAGCCAGACTCTCAATCTACAGATGTGTGTACTTGACCAGTACCATAAAGTCTGCAGCAAACGTCCACCCCAACGGGTCTGTACCAGGGAGTAGTAAAATAACAGTATATAACTACTTCCTGGTCTGTACTATTTTCTATACAAGATGTGCTAGAGCTGATAGCCAGTTAGTTATAGAACGTCAGTACCTTCGGTACCAGGGAGTAGTAAAACGCGATGCACACTATCACTTCTGCGATGCGATGAGCTTCGAGCAAAAGTCTTTTTCGAATCGCACGAAGAGTGTTCGATGCACAATGCACGCCACATCATTGCAGGGCATGCACAGTCCAAAACTGTACGCGAGCTGTCATCTGCGCCCGCCGTGCAGAAAGTGATGCGCATCGCTCGTCGCTTGTCGCAGAAGTTGAACTAGGCTCAACTTTCCGCGATGCGACCTGCGACGGAGGTGCGATTCAAAATCTTGCAGAAAAAAAACATTTCGATCGCATCGCTCGTCGCTCATCGCGTCGCATAAGTGATATTGTGCATCGCGCTTTAACCAGTTAGTTGTAGAATGCCAGTAGCGTCGGTCAGTGTCGTGTAATGTTATCGCATGAGCTGATTGTTCAGTAACATGTAGGCTTTGCACAGCAAAGTCTAGTTAGCCCTGGCACACTCGCAATATTGGCATATTGCTGTGAGTGTGTGTCACGTGACTGTCCCTGCACGATTTACAAGCTGGCAAAATTGTACAGACATCCTGTTAGTGTTATGGTGTCATATCGGAAGACGTGTCTTCTTCAAGCTCTTGAATTGTCGGGATGTGAAGGAGCGTTCCTTTGCAGTTTATTATAGCCCGATCCAGAGCGCATGATTACAGCCCGACCGCAAGAATAAGCGTACAACCCAGCCGAGGGCGCACGAACGGCCGCCGAGGCCAGAAACCTGCCTACTGAAGGCTAAAGCATACCGCCCAACCGAGGGTGCACAACGGCCGTCAAGGCCAATAGCCTGCCCCCGAGGGCTACAGCAAACTTCCCGCCAAGGGATAAAGCCTAGTACCCACCGAGGGCCAAAGAATGCTGCCCACCGTGGACCGATTATATACTGCCCACCGAGGGCTCAATCATACTGCCTATTGAGCAAACGAACAGCCACCGAGGCCGACAACCTGCCCACCAAGGGCAAAAGCATACTGCCCGCTAGGGCCGACCTCATACTGCCCAGCGAGGGCAAACGAACGACCACCGACGCCAAGAACTCACACAACTGCCTGGCATGAGGCGTTACACCACACACATACAATATGATGGTGGGCCATGCGTGCGTCTGCCCCCGGTGGGCAGTGTGAATTACTGACGACCGAATGTGATGATATGACGCAAATATTATCGTTTGCTTTCTTGGAACTGGTCTATCATCACTTTGCTGAAGTAATCAAAATGAAGTCATGGCAACTCCCAACTTATGTATTGATTGCTTGTGAGTTCGTGCGTGAGTACGTCGTTGTACGCACAGACGGGGCGTTGGAGTATCTGCAATTATGTTTGTGTACATAAATGTGTGTGTGTGTGTGTGTCACGGTGTGTGTGTGTGTGTGTATGTGCATGCGCATGCGCTTGCGCATGTGCATAGGCAGAGGTATGCCCGGAGACCGGGGTGTTTACACGTGGACCTGGGTTAATGGTGGTGTTAGTGTACATCATAGCGTAACTTGTAGTTCCTTGGTCCTTTTTCTTTTCTATTTTCTATATGTAAATAATCGACGTGGAGACAACAATTTTATAATAGCTATAAAGAGAACAAATTCTGCTGTCATCGCCACACTACAACAAAGTCATGAAGGTTTACCAAAATCGACTTTCTTGTCACAATCATCAGTGGAAAGCCGTGACTGAAGAATAACCATGCCAAATCAATAATTTATATACATTCAATAATGTGTTACGATGATTGTGACAAGAAAATCGATTTTGGTAAACCTTCATGACTTTGTTGTAGTGTGGCGATGACAGCGGAATTTGTTCTCTTTATAGCTAATTTCTATATGCAGGTCATTTCTTTGTGTGTTGAATTTGAATACGAGAATGACCGTACTGCCTACGAACTGCCTGTCTTTCCAGAAGGCCAACATTTTTGTGCGATTTGTGTGCATGTGTGTGTGTGTGTGCGTGCGTGTGTGCGTGCATGCATCTTTGTGTGCATCGTGTGTGTGTGTGTGTATGTGTGTGTGTGTGTGTGTGTGTGTGTGTGTGTGTGTGTGTGTGTGTGTGTGTGTGTGTGTGTGTGTGTGTGTGTGTGTGTGTGTGTGTGTGTGTGTGTGTGTGTGTGTGTGTGCATGCATGTATAATGTATTCTTTAAAAACTTTCTATCACTTCCAGCCGTTGCTGAAGGAGTAGGCAAGGACAGAGCTGACGTATTGTTCAAGTTTGATCTACCAACCATCAGTCAATGATTGCACAACTTCCACTGAATGGTGTGTGTGTGTGTGTGTGTGTGTGTGTGTGTGTGTGTGTGTGTGTGTGTGTGTGTGTGCGTGTGCGTGCGTGTGTGTATGTGTGCGTGTGTGTGTATGTGTGTATGTATGTGTGTGTATGTGTGTGCATGTGTGTGGGCATGCAGCACCCATCACACTGAGTATTGAATTCACTTGAGTAGAATGTAATTTGTGTGTGTACTGTTTTCAATGATTGTATTGTGTAGCATGCATGACTCTGCTGAAGAAACAGTTCAATGATCAGTTTTCTGGTTATTCTAGGATTTACGGATATAATTCCTCACAGTCAAGTATACACACAAGAATACATGATGTTACTGGTAGTGCAACTGCTGATGTTGCAGACAATACTTCTGTTCATACTGTTGCACACTACGTAGCTCTCCGTCACGATTCTTCTCTTGGTTTTGTTGATGTGGTTATTGTCACCAGCAAGTGCTGAGTACACTGTACAATAGTCTTATAGATATGTATATACAGTATAATTATACTGATGGTGTTCACTGCTCTTCTGCTTCTGCTCTGATAGTCCATTGCTGATGTACGTGTTTGTCAATATTGACACCAATGCCATCATTAACTGAAATACATTCATTGTTGCTGGTGCTAAGTTTGCTGATTCTACTCTTGATCACCTGTAGCCGGTACTGTAAAACCGGAAAGTTTAACCACCGAAAAGTTTACGTTTTTTGTATTTTTGGCATGATTACGTGCAGAAAGTTTAACGATGGCTACCTGGCCACCCATCTGTATGCGCATCTTTGCACAGACATCTAGCGATACCTTTTTTTTTATAACAAAAAATAATTGGTCGTTAAAACGTTAGACTTTGGGACTCGTTTGACTTTCCGGTTTTACAATACTGTGCTGGTCCGAATGACTGTGACCAAGAGTTTATCTAGTCTTGCTGTGACCAAGAGTTTATCTACTCTTGGTGTGACGAGACGTGCGGTAACTCAAGTGCTCTCAGTCCACACTGCACCGCGGCCTTGCTGCATCACCTCATCACACATGATACAGCTGTAATGTATTTCCTTGATCTCAAGCATGCAGTCACGGTCTGCACTGCACCCCGGGCACCATTCCAGAGAGGGCAGTATTACCCCCAATGAGGGCACCATTCCAGAGAGGTCATTATTTTATTACCCCCAGTACACAATCATAGTACGTCATTGCACCATGTAACTTTGCGGATATCTACTGCATGTAGATGATGTCAAACTTACACTGTACTGTTGGGTTAGAAAGAACTGGGGGGTCAGCCTGGTAGTAGCCTAGAGCATTCCTATTTTCATGTACTATGGTTTATGCACAGTTGAGTTAGGGAGCATCTCATAAGTTCGCATTTTGTTTCTAAACGTAACGCATTTCGAAACGGGGGTAGGGGGGTAGCGCCCTTTTCGAATAGAAAAATGACAGTTCGCACATTTTCTAGATCACTTCAGCAAATGAGTGTGTTTAGGTGTAGATCTACCTGTGTTTGCAGATCAGCTAACCCTGTACTACATGCATGTAGGCTACTCAGAGGTGTCAAATGTCACACCAGCCTGATCAAACCGTGTACCTGGTCAGCTTTTACAGCAGTACAGACTTTTTAGTTGTTGTGGAGGAACTGTGTTTATGTACGTGTACATGTCATTGATTGTACTTGTACTCAGTAGATGCAGTACATGTACTACTGTATGCCATTCACTACCACACTAGCAAAACATTCATAATCATATCCATGTACATGTACATAAGCATACCATAGCATCGGGCATGGACGTGTACAGTACATGTAGATAAACACAGAAAATGTGCGATAAGACTTTCGAATAGAGGGGGGAGGTAGGGGGGTAAAGTCTATTCGAAATGCGTTACGTTTGCAAAATAAATGCGAACTTATGAGATGCTCCCTTGCTGTCTATACATTGGTATGCTGTGCCAGGGTGAAATTCCAGCCTGCATGTCCGTTTTTCACCTAACCCAACCGTTCTTCAGCACCCCACAGTACAGCTGTGTGTACTCTTGATGATGTAACCATGCACTGGTCATGTGACTATAGATATTCAGACAGACCGTACACATATACACACACGAGTGCAGTACAGCTGTGTGTACTCTTGATGATGTAACCATGCACTGGTCATGGGACTATAGATATTCAGACAGACCGTACACATATACACACACGAGTGCAGTGTAGCTGGCTCAAACGTGCAGCGACGTACAAAACAACAGTAAATAGATGGTAGAGTGTTGATTGCTGTTGCAGGCAAGAACAAAAAGGATAGATTCAATAGATTGGAGAGCTTTCAGTATGACAGCAGGCAAGCCGGGGTGACGGGGAAATCACTGATCACGGTAAACTCACGTCATCTCAATAAAAATGATACGTAAACGGCGGCGGAGGCAGCAGGCGATGGAAAGTAACCCGGTACATGATTCACTACGTGTACTATGCTGAAGATGCTGAGAACAAAACCACACAACACACGCCAACCACACCACGATGGTGTGTGCAGAGCAGTAAAACTGAACACGGGAGGGAGATAAAGTGTGTACTGTGTTGCCATGGTACCCACTACTGCTGCAGCTGTAGATACAGATATTAGAGGTATGTAAACAGGAGAATGACGTCATGTCTGCTGCTAGTAATACTATTAGTCTTGTAGTAATGATGAGCTTACTTGCTTACAATAGGTCAGGAATACTAACACATATTCATATGATTACTTCACCATTGCCAGCCACTGGCTATGTAACTCTGTCTTTGTTGCTGTGTTGTATGGGCAGAGCACAAATACTTCACACTTAAATTGATATGCAGAGTATCATCTTTGATCACCCATACAACCACAGCTACATAAGCTACCAGACACTGAGATCACGGGCCGAATGCTTCATGACGTGCATCTTGCCTTGAACCTGTTGCAAAAGTCACATACATAGAACACAATGACATCCACTTGGATTATTGTTTCCACAGGCCAATCACTACAGAACACAGAAATGAAACCGTTGGCTCAACCAAGAAAACACAAAAACCACCAAGGAACTACAAGTTACGCTATAAAGTCCACTAACACCATCAGTTACAGGGGCATCTGAAGGTATTATAGTGTGGTAAGGTCAGCCATCTGAAGTACAAGTTACTCGTGGTGGAGGGGTGGCTGAGTCGAAATTTTGGAAATTTAGAGTCCAAATCAGTTTATTTTATTGGTTCACGGGGTGGTACCTGGGGGCAAAAAGTGATACGGTCCATAGCGTAATGACCGTAGCGTGTCCCCAGGCAACACCCCTATGTCACATGACAATCAACTCATGCGATAACATTGCACGGCACTGACCGACGGTACTGACCTTCTACAACTAACTGGCTATCAGCTCTAGCAAGTTTTGGATGCGCACTCCAGCAGCATTCCAACTTGGAATGTTCTTAGTTACATGATAACATAGGAGGGGAAGGTGAGCACAACCAAGACAAGCACAAGCTGAAGGTCTTAGCTGTGAAGGCCGATGTACATGCATGTCAATGACGATACTGGCAAGACCATTGGACAGTACGGTCAAACCAAGATTCAAGGACGCATAGCAACATAGCACACAACTTGTGTGGCTCTAAAGATTCAACATGCATGAGCTGATTGTCAAGTAACTGGTGGTGTTAGTGGACATTATAGCGTAACTTGTTGTTCCTACAAAATAACCAACAAGGCGTTGCAACCCATACCCGCTGAGCAATGACACAAATTCCACTAACAAGGCTAAGAGAAATTTATATTTTACATTACAAGTCATACAGTACCGTATTTTCCGGAGTATAAGCCGTACCCCCTCCCCCCCCCCCCCCCACATTTTTTTCCCATGAAATACAGACATCTATTTGATGATCACTGTTATTTTGGTCATTGGAATATAAGTCATTCTTTTGGGTGAATTTTGAGTGTTCAAAGTGCGGCGTTGTCTCCAGAAAATACGGTACGTAATTCCAATACCATCGACATGACGGAAACCTCGTGCCCATACACGGTCAATTTGTCTAGCCAACTCAACCACACACGAGAATGTGTGCATGACTATACACACACACATCCTTGAACCTTGAACTTGCCCATTGCCAGAGGCAATGATAGAGAAAGGACTAATATGGCAGCAACCGGCAGAAAGGTTCGTGGCACACAATACACACACACACACATACTGTGCAAACACACACACACACACACACACACACACACACATACTGTACACACACATACCGTACACACACACACATGCTGTACACACACACCTTGACCTTGCCCATTGCGTAACAATGATAGCGCATAGTTATTTCTCCAGTCCACAACAGAACGACTGATGGCGTTTCAGGTCGACCCCTTCGACGGAACGTGCGGCCGCAGGCGCAACCGTAGCCAGCAGCAGAGGGTGCCTTGGGTGGTCGACGGGCAATGGTACGCCACTCCGGACTGTTCTGGGCTGCACCGTACCATCAACATGTTGGTACCGGTGGCTCAACCGACGAAACGTCATCCATAATGACGTCCCTCCACCTCTTGCCTGGACCATGCGCGGGACGCGGGGCAGGCAGTTCACCGAAGAGAACACACTTGGGCAACCGGTAATCTTCCATCCGTGTCACGTGTCCAAGCCAGCGCAAACGCCGCTCCCGTACGATGTGACCAATGTCCTCAGGCACTCCAAGGGTCTTTGGAAGGGCTATGGACGCAAGCACACGCACACACACACACACACACACACACACACACACACACACACACACACTTGTACTTGTTGCTCACTGTCAAAACTGGGTCACGTGGGTCTCCCCGGGAGAGGGGAGAGAGACTCAAAAGGAATCTTGGAAAGATGACTCTATTGGCTATTGAACCGCCCAATGGCTGAAACCCTCTGAAATCCCCAAAACTCTGGGTGGACTTGAAAATGATCCCACTTATGGGCTCACCACACCTCAGTAAGTGGGCGAGGACAAGTTGCAGAAAAAGGATTGACGGAATCAGGGTATCCGTCCCGGGATCCAACTGCAGTTACCCCTGCCCCCAGTGAATGTAATACTTGCTACTAGTGTGGGTGGCTAAATCAGAGTGGATCTGATATAAGCTTCACTAGCACCATTGATTACACTAGAGTTAATCTAGCCAGAAGCAGTCCATGGTTAACAGGTATGTATACTTCAAATAGAAAGTATATGAACCCTGGAACCAACAAAGGTGGCAGGTACAACATTACACCTTCAAGCAGCCGAGCCTGTTGGCAACAGACCCAACACAATCAGGCATAAGTGTACCTACGAACCGAACTAGCTGGCACTAGTCTTGAGTTGTCATTGTCCTGTTCTCCTTCTTGTCTACACTCAAGACTTGCATAATTCAATACTATAAAACTCTTGTGTTTTGGTGTGAGGGGACTTCATTAGCCGGGAGCAGCTAACACTGGTGGCAGCGGTGGGATTCGAACCCACACCTCCGGGGAGACTGGAGTGCCCACATACACACAAACACACACAAACACACACACACACACACACACACACACACACCAGGTAATCGGAGCGTGTGGAGTGCCACTACCTGGAAAAATGAAGACGGAATACTAATCAGGATGTTACATGTATGTTTGAGTGAAACTTTTATTTTATCTTGTTTCAAATTTCTTCCACACAATCAACTAATTACTTACATGACATGTACTTACTTCCCATCATCTCAGTTTTCTTTTCTATTCATCCATCTGCACTCCATATCACTCCGTATCACTGTTGTAGAAATATTCCTCCAGGTGTGTACTAGTCTCCACAGCCATGTGATGACACTTTGGGACACGTCCCTAACAACATAGCACTCTCCAGTTGGTAGTTTTACATTTGCCCAGATTATCTGTGACCACAACACGAAATGCATAGCGGCAATCGATGGATGAAGTGTTCATTCTACACTACAGGAGCTGCTAATGCAGAGCATTTTTACACGCTCGATCCCGGCGCTCCGCCTCGTTGCGCCGTTGGTGACACTGACCATGCACGGTCACAAGAGATGTCTCAGTAAGGTAACGAGCACCACAACACTGTCGAGATCAATGAGAAAGAGAAAACACTGAAAACAACAAAAGAGGAATTAAATCAAAGTCAAGTGCATGTATGCGCCTTTTGCTTTTGCATATGTTGCCACTGGCAACTTACGTGTTACTTGTTCGGTGGAGAGGATTTTTAGTACAGACTCAGTGTGCATGTACAGCCATGCAGTCTAGGACTAGGGACTGTTCCTATGCGCGTCTAGTGCTACTGGTACTGTGTACTGTCTGTGTACATGTTCTGGCATGTACTCAGTTATAATGCCGAGTAATCATGGTAATGGCAGCTGACTTTATTTTTGGAGAAACACTAGTCCTGGAGTGTCATTGTAGTAAAACGTTTACAATGAATGGCGATAGCATCTAGGAAGGATCGCTACCCTGACGTGAAAGAAAGGCCTTGCGCGGCTGCTCTACGAAGTGTTGCAGAAAGACTCAAAGTTAGTTGCTGGACGAACAACTCGCTGGGGCCGGAAAACCTGGCCCCAACGATGGAGTTTGGTGAATCATCAAGCATAATATCTTGTAGCAGTGTTCACCGAGGAAGGAGAACGCTCTAGCCGCTGCTGTTGTCCGTTTCATCCACGTTGGGCGTGAGCTGCACCGCGCCTATTGTGTTTTAGTATTCCATGGACACACATTAGCATTCTGAGCGATTGTGGAGCCACAATTTACTTCACACGGCGTTGTATTGTCCACGAGCGCAAACTTCATTATCAGCAGTAACTGTTACTCTTCATCCTACATGTAGATTTGGAGTATACACGGCCTTGTCACGACAGCGACAGCTCTACAGAGTGTTCAAGCGAGAAACATTAATTTCAATTGTTGGTGGACGAACAAATCACTGGTTCTGAAAAACGCGGCCTGCATCGATGGTGTTTGGTGGATCATCGAACAGGGTGACCAGCAGTGTTCACCGAGGAAGGAGAACGCACTCGCCACCACTGTCGTCCGATTCATCCAAGTGGGCGCTAGCTGCGCCGCGCCTATTGTGTTCTAGTATTCCATGGATGCACACTAACGTTCTCAGCGATTGTGGAGCCTTGTCTTCATGCGGCGTTGCACTGTCCAAGAGCACAAACGTCAGCAGTGACCCATCATCATACATGTAGATTTGGAGTATACACACCATGCGCCAATGGGCCTTGGCACAACAGCGGCAGCTCTACGGGGTGTGCAAGTGAGAAACTTTTGTTCCGACTATTGGTGGACGAACAAATCGTCGGCGCCGAAATACGTGGCCTGCGCCGATGGTGCTTGAAACATCAAGTCTGGTATGTGGTGGCTGCCAATGTTCATCAAGGAAGGATAACACTCAGGCCGTCGCCCGTCATCCATTTGGTTAGCTGCACCAAGTCTATTGTGTTCTTGTACATGGACACACAATCATGAAGCATGGCGTCTGAGCTATCTTATCTGTCCTGTGTATTCCCAAGTGTCGAAGGCTCACAACGATGGCGTCGTACAAGTGAAATAAGATGGAATCAACGTAAGTACGCATATGTACTCTTACTGACTGAAACATAAGTGGGGTGTAAGAGCTAATTCATATGGTGTTGTGACATTCACATGTACGAGTTTAGTGTGTAGTACTGTCTTGTTACGTACTGAGTTCTATGACTTTGTTTTGTCTCCATATACTGCATGCATTCACGTTACACACTTATCAGTTTGACCCTGAGTTCATGTCTGCTATCCCGTGTCTCCTCTGCTTCTTATTGTTTCCACATGGTTCACGGTGTAGCGCTGCACGTGTTCCGTCAGTTTGAACTTTAGCACAAATCGCAACTACTTGTGCTTTCAGACATGCCACGTGATTCACGGTTGCCAGGGTTTGAGCCAATCAGAGCGCTTACAGGCAGGTCCTGAACCCCTGATCATGCCCTGCCTGCCAGCTGTACTACAATATTATTATGTCACGTACCCGCACGCGCACGGTTCTCCTGCGCTTGGGCTTGCTTTCCCTTGGTAGTTGGAAGTCAGTGGCTGTTTTAGGACTCTTAGATTATGTACAGAAAGTGGTGGACATCACGCAAGTGCATTGTAAATAAAAGGGGGTTTGTCAACTGCCAACCGCATAATTTTCGACATCATTAATAAAATAATTTTCATCTAAAGAGTGAATAGCAACTAAATAGAGCGGTTGTCAGTTGACAAACCCCCTTTTATTTACATTACTTTTATTTACACTACTTTTATTTACACTACTTTTATTTACATTACTTTTATTTACATTACTTTTATTTACATTACTTTTATTTAGATTATGTACTGTAGAGCAGGACATTTTCGGACGGAATTTATTTTCGTACGATTTCGTACACGGCCTCTTTTGTACTAAAATTAATTCCGTACTAAAATTTGTTCATGTGAAATTATGTACACTATACATGCATACTGCTTGCGAACACGTCTATTTAGAATGCAGCACTGTACGAAAATATAATCCGTCCAAAAGGTCGAAATTTGGCTTTGTCCGAAAATATTTCCGTCCGAAAATTTCCTGCTATACAGTATCAGAAGTAAACACAACGTAGAAATATCACAATTGTCTCTTGTGTATTATATCCGTCTGATGTCACCAGATCGTCACATGGTGCTGTGACCAGGATACGGATCATGACGAACGCTGATTCAACTGGACGAATCGCAACCTGACGACGAAGAATCGCGAGGCTTTTCAGATGCTGGGACACAATGGAAACTGAACGACTTTAGAACAGCACTGAAGCGTTATGTTATCATGCAAGACGCCTTTCTGCGCCGCACAAACACAGGCGATACTACAGCAGAAGATGTCACTCATTATTCTGCAGGTGCACTGGTGACAGGCGCATGCAAGTTCACCAGAAGGAAGCGGTCTGATGGTATCTGGAATGCCAGCAGTATGAGAGGGTGTGCATTCTGCGGTGGATCTGACCTGGACAAGAGCTGCACGAAATACCTAACAGTAGCACAGCGGAAAGAATAACTGATTGAACAGAAGCGTTGCATTGTGTGTTTGCGCACAGGGCACCGGTCAACTCAGTGCAAGGCCACCCGCAAGTGTAATGTGTGTTCTCGCATGGGTCACCAATCAGAGTCACCATCATGTCACAATCTGCCCTGAATCTCAACAGAAATCTGACAGCAGTACCAACATGGTATCTGATCAGCCTGTGTTTGACGAGGTACCAGCATCTAGCACAACAGCAGCTAGTGCAGCATCAACCAGTATCGCCATCGACCGAAAGATAGTCAGTCGTCTTGATCGGTGCAGATTTCCTCTGGGAGTTTATGACGGGGAGCACCAGAGGACTTCCGTCAGGACTACAGGCTCTGCCTACCACAGTCGGTTTTGTGGTGACTGGCCGAACACGTCACTCCAAGCACTCAGCTACGCCGATGAGCAGCCATGCCAGCTATCGTTTCTCTAACTGATGCGATTTCCGACTCCTGCACCATCCCAGATCTGTGGGACTTAGACTGCGTTGGCATCCGGGATTCAGCCAATCTTCTAACAACGACCTAGCAATTAGGCAATTCATCTCAACTGTCATTCAACTCGATCGTTTCCGGTCTCTATCCAAGCGCCTAGAAGTCGAGTCGGAACTCAAGGTCAAATGCGACGACGTGATCCAGCAGCAGCTATGACAAGGCATCATTGAACAAGTGTGTCCTTCTACACCTGTGGGTGCCAGAGTGCCCTATCCGCCTCATCAACCAGTCGTGATACCACAGAAGACGATCACAAAAGTCAGAATTGTCTATGACGCCTCAGCCAAAGGCAGACGCACTAATGTGTCCCTGAACAACTGTTTGCAACATGGCCCAGCTTTGCTGCCAGATCTGTTTGGCATTGTTCTACGATTTTTCCTGCCACCAATCGTCATGACCTGCGATACTGAGAAGGCCATTCTACAAATCAGTGTCAACCCAGCATACAGAGATGCGACACGATTTCTGTGGTTCGCCAACTCCGACAGTACATCAGCTTGGCAACGTATCGCTTCTGCCGGGTACTGTTCACGCTCATAAGCAGTCCATTTCGGCTTGGCGCGTCTATACAGCATCATTTGGCACAGCAAGATGACAAACAGCTAGCAGTGGCTATTGGTGAGAACATTTTCTGCTGTGCCATTGGAGTGTGCACTATACACGTACCCTGCTCTTTTGTTGGCACCGCCTGTGTAACTTACTGCATATAATAGGGTGCAAGGTGACCGTTGTCGGTTTACATGTACTCCAGTTATTACACCGTGCATGCACTGAGTCTGTGCTGTACTGTGCATCCATAGGTGTTCGTTTGCGGTAGCGCAAGGTGACACGCAAGGTTGATGTATTGTGTTGTCCGCTGCTATTCGAAGCTCTCGGAGTCGGAAGCGTTACCTCTGTTTCCCCTGTTCCTCCCTGAGCGGAGTCTGTAGTTCTGGCTTGCAGTCGCTGTTACATGCATGTTGCCAGTTGCATGTGTTTTGGTTATCAGTTGTCTTTATTTGTTTTGTGTGGACGACGCCAGTTCAATATTCTAGCAGTTGTTACGCTGCCCATGTTCCGTAGTTATCTGCTGTTGGTGTTCGAGAGAGCAAACTGTGTTCTTCTCCAGAGTGGAGTAAGCCATTCTCTTGTGTCTGAGGAAACCCTGTGTGTTGACGAAGTGGGTTGACTTGGCTGTAGAGTGAAAGTACCACATGGTCACATGGTCCACAAAATCTTACTTGTAGAACTAACTTAGGGTCTTCTGGCGTATGGTATATATGAGCAGCATGAGAGTGAAGTAAAAGACTATTAGCTCAAACATTCAGTCTTTCAAGAGTAGGTGTTCCATCACGGAATAGGTACTGCAGTTCACTTACACACTGCAACAATGGACCAGCAGTGTCCAGCATACAATATTATAGTATCAAAAAGTATTCTTTCTAGACCAAAGAGTGGTATATTTGATAACATTTAATAACGATAGAAATTTTTACGATACTTCTCCAGACGTTTCGTTGTTCTGAA